CAAAAAAAAAATGTTGCCAAGTATATAAGTCAAAATTGTTAAATATATATCGCTTTAATTCATTTCTTCATAGGTTATGCTTCTTTTATAGGAAAATTCATACGGCTTATGAACAGATTCATACCATGTAAATGCACCATAATGCTCTACAGCAGTCGCCACTACTTTTATATATATTGCTGGTATATTCAAAATACTATCCTTTTTAAAGCACATTAAAAATAAAATAAGCTTCTAGTTTAGAAGTTAGCACAAAATGATTTTTTTTGTTTGTTGTTTACAAAAAAATACTTGCCAAGCATTTTTTTTGTAAACAACAAATAAAAAAATTTTATTTTGTGCTAGCTTAGAAACTAGAAGCTTATTTTTTGTTAAATGTGCTTTAAAAATGATCTACTGCCAATAAAGCCTTGTGGATTGCTATTTTTCCATATTTGTAATGCTTCCATTTAAACATCTTTGTGGAAAACAGTTTGTTGCTCAGAATTGCTTGTTTACGAAACGTTTGGCATAAGTTGAAATCATATGGATGCCGTTTCCTTCTGTTTCTCAATGGATTTTATACTTGAAAAGACACCAAAATATGTATGCAATACTTCTACANGTTGCTCAGAATTGCTTGTTTACGAAACGTTTGGCATAAGTTGAAATCATATGGATGCCGTTTCCTTCTGTTTCTCAATGGATTTTATACTTGAAAAGACACCAAAATATGTATGCAATACTTCTACATATCGTCGTTTAAAGTACAAAACCGCGCATCAGGAAAATGTAAAGCCTCGTATGTGAGGTTTCCTAAATTTTATAGGATAGAGAGTAAAACTTGTCCTAATTAAAAACGGTTCTCTCTTTTAAACTTAATTATCTCTTCTCCTTATGTCTAAGTATCGATATTTTATTATAAATGGCTAAGGGCGTGATGCCAGGCACAAACGACGATATAAATATTGGCGCTTACACAATATGTTAGTGCTTGGCCTAGCTTCTCCTCCGATATGTGGCGTGCGTGATTTTGTCGCACAAAGTAAAGGACAGTTTTACGGCAATTGTATTTTTATNAGCTTCCGGTGACCAAATATCTTTTTTGGCACAAACGACGATATAAATATTGGCGCTTACACAATATGTTAGTGCTTGGCCTAGCTTCTCCTCCGATATGTGGCGTGCGTGATTTTGTCGCACAAAGTAAAGGACAGTTTTACGGCAATTGTATTTTTATGAGAAGCTGTTTCCATGACAGAATACGCTCGGAGGTTTACTATTACTAAAAGAGGGGCAACCGCTAATAGAAAAAAACTTTTTTGTTTTTTATATTTTGATGTTGGTGGGAAACTGGGCTTGAACTCGGGCGCTGCGTAATGCTCTACAGCAGCCGCCACTACTTTTACATATATTGATGGTATATTCAAAATACTATCCCGAACATCGGAGTGTATATGTGTAATATAAAAAAGAATGAGAGGTACTATAAGAAAATGTACCCAAAGCTCAGAAGCAAATGAAAAAATGCTCTTTGAAAATAATTCACATGCATAAATTAAAAGATATAACTTAAGCGGTTACAGCGCTAAACCAAAGGAAAAGTTAGAAAAAATAGCAATGCGGTTTGAAAGAAATATAAAACCATAAAATGTTTGTTTGTTTCGTTAGTTCTCTGAACCTTTTACGATATGACACTCCATTCTTTGCAGTAGATTGCAAATATACACTAATTGTTCTAAAATCGCAAACATTTTCGTGGGATGTTTTGCTTTGATTTCGTATTGAAAATACATTACGATCATATTGTACCGAAATAAGCATTTTGTAAAGGCCAGAAAGAAGCATAAACTGTGCTACCGTATCCAATATCTAAAATCCTTCAAATTTTGTTATTAATTTCTTGTTTATTTACATTTTATTCTTATAATCGAAATTTGAACAAGTAAAGGTACATATTTTGTTGGGTACGGCTCGATTATTTGTACAAAAACCAAAACTATTGCACAAATAACCGAACATTTCCCCGTTTTGTTTTTGAAAAAGGTCTAATGCTCAATAAGTTGATAATTGTGTTTCNCATTTTGTAAAGGCCAGAAAGAAGCATAAACTGTGCTACCGTATCCAATATCTAAAATCCTTCAAATTTTGTTATTAATTTCTTGTTTATTTACATTTTATTCTTATAATCGAAATTTGAACAAGTAAAGGTACATATTTTGTTGGGTACGGCTCGATTATTTGTACAAAAACCAAAACTATTGCACAAATAACCGAACATTTCCCCGTTTTGTTTTTGAAAAAGGTCTAATGCTCAATAAGTTGATAATTGTGTTTCTAGTAGGGCTGTGCGATTAATTGATTACTCAAAATTTTAATTAATCATAAAGTAGATAACTCAGTTATTCGATTAATTAGAAGTTATGATTAGTCAAAAGTTCAGTTACTCGAGTAATCAAGATTTTTGATTAACCAAAAACATAAATATTTGAATAATTTGCTTTATGATTAATCAACATTTCGAGTAAAATGAGTAATCAACATTTCAACTCTTTACATATGTATAAAGTAGTTAAAGTTCCTTGATACTTTGAAAACAACGTTTCTGTTTTCAAAAATTAAAACGAACATTTTTTTTTCATATACTTTTTTAAAGGGGCAAAATTATTTTTTTTGAGTAATCATATTTCAAGTAACTCGATTAATCATCGTTTTGAGTAATCAAAATCTTGATTACTCGAGTAATTGATTAACCAAATAATTGATTAACCAACTTGCTCGAGTAATCGAATAATCGCACAGCCCTAGTTTCTAGTTTTCATGCTAACAATAAATCATCAATTTTGTTACACACCCCCTCTAATATTGAAATGTAAAATGTATTTATTTTTACCCAAAGAAACAACGATATTGTCGAAACATACTAGAATTGGATAATACTCACTTCTCTGAAAGTCATAAGTCCTATGGGTCCCAAAGTAAATTCCGTTTTCAAGTTACTTGAAAGACATGGACAAAGACAATATCGAAATGTGTAATTTCAGCGTCTCAATTATATCAGAAACAATCGTATCCGATATAGAAAACTTTAATAGTCCTGGCTAGCTACATTGTGTAATAATCAGATGACATAATGGTACTTAAAAACTTTTAAAACATGTTCACTAAAATTTAATTAATGTAAAAATAAAGATTTTGGCAAGTAGTTATCGAATTTAATGTAAAATTTTAACTTTTTGAAGATAAGTTATTAATTATTTTTAAAAGGTAAATGTTTATACAACTATTTGATTTATACTCCCAAATTTAGGATATAAAGTCCCCTTCACCAAAAAACTTAATTTGGGTAACGCCGCATCGAATTTTTTACAATTGAGCAATTGTCAAAAATCTCCTTTTTAATCAAAAAGTTGTTTTTTGAAACTACCATGATACAAAAAAGAAGGTAGTTTAAATAAACAACTTTTTGATTAAAAAGCAGATTTTTGACAATTGCTCAATTGTAAAAAATCTAAGCCGCTAGAACCGCTGAGCGTCTCTTTTAAAATTCTTGACGTTTCCAAACAATTTAATTTTTAAATTTACTCACAAACTCACACACACATTTTCATTTTCTATCTCAAGCAACAACAATTTCGAACAACTTCAATTTTTTATTTTCACTTTTATATGATTTTAAAATGTTGGCAAACTTCAAAAAAAAATCATGGCCGACAAATTGAGAGAACGGTTCTACCTTGCTATGTTTTTATCATGGTTTCGACCATGATACAAAAATGAAGGTAGTTTCATTACTACTATTTTTTGATTATAAAGCAGATTTTTGACATTTCTCCAGATGTAACCATTAAGCATAGCTTTGCGACATTAAAATTTTTTGATAGAGCAGATTTTCTTTTAAATATTTGGGAGTAAAATTTACATACAAACAATAGTAGGTTGATGTGTTCGATAATCAAATTTGAACGTTTTTCTCAAGCGTTTAAAAGATCCTTCGAATAATATCGATGTGCAGAGATGAAGAAATAAAATAAAATCTAGTTTTGAAACATTTATTTGTTAAAAAGCTGTTTTTCATTTTATTTTAAACAAAATAAATAAATTTACATAACAAAACTTTTTTTTTTTTTGTTAAATAGTCCGAAGAAGATGTATTGTTAGATATTTCGTCATCAAAGCATAGTCCGAAACCAGGATTCGGAGAAGGTTGAATGGTCACATTGCCCTCACAATGAAAGGAGTCACAATTCAAAATTCTCCGGAAGTGAAGTATCTATAAGTAACTCTGGATACGAAACTGTTGTGGAAATCTAACGAGGAACTCAAAAGCTCTAAAAAATGGACAGCATTTTGGCAATGTAACCTGGTCTTTGGTAAAACGTGGGGTGTGTCACCATAGGGAATCCTCTGGATTTATACCTCTATGACCAGACCCATAATTAACAACTATGCGTCAGTGGTATGGTGGAGCAGATTCTCAATCAAGAGCGTGGGAAGTCTGCTTGCAAAACTTTAAAGAACTACTGCCGTGTGCGGTACGAAAGATTTCTCTACAACACGTGGCGTTGCTCTTGATGCACTGCTGCACTTACCGTAACTTTGGTTCTTCATCGTGGGGAAGCCTTAAAGGCCACCTGCAGACTAAAAAAAAACGGATGCTGGTATAACACTGAGTGGAGCCAGGCGGAAATTGCTAGCAGCAGAGATCTGAGCACTTGTGTCTTTTCAATGCCACAGGATAGTACGCCACCTTTACCTTTGGTGAAGAGATTCTATAATGTTGAGTTTCCTGAGGCCGATTGCTGGTTTAATACCAGCACTGAGCCCGGACTCGCACATAATCGAATATTCACTTATGGCTCCAAAACTGACTCTGGGTCAGGATCTGAGGTCTTTATCGAAGTTAATGGGGATACGATTAACTTTTCTCTTGGCAAGTATGCTTCGGTCTTCCAGGCTGAGGTATTTGCAATCCTCAAGGATATGGACTACGTGGTGGAAAATAGGTGGAGCGGAAAGAGTTTACGTGACGGCCAANGAAACTGTTGTGGAAATCTAACGAGGAACTCAAAAGCTCTAAAAAATGGACAGCATTTTGGCAATGTAACCTGGTCTTTGGTAAAACGTGGGGTGTGTCACCATAGGGAATCCTCTGGATTTATACCTCTATGACCAGACCCATAATTAACAACTATGCGTCAGTGGTATGGTGGAGCAGATTCTCAATCAAGAGCGTGGGAAGTCTGCTTGCAAAACTTTAAAGAACTACTGCCGTGTGCGGTACGAAAGATTTCTCTACAACACGTGGCGTTGCTCTTGATGCACTGCTGCACTTACCGTAACTTTGGTTCTTCATCGTGGGGAAGCCTTAAAGGCCACCTGCAGACTAAAAAAAAACGGATGCTGGTATAACACTGAGTGGAGCCAGGCGGAAATTGCTAGCAGCAGAGATCTGAGCACTTGTGTCTTTTCAATGCCACAGGATAGTACGCCACCTTTACCTTTGGTGAAGAGATTCTATAATGTTGAGTTTCCTGAGGCCGATTGCTGGTTTAATACCAGCACTGAGCCCGGACTCGCACATAATCGAATATTCACTTATGGCTCCAAAACTGACTCTGGGTCAGGATCTGAGGTCTTTATCGAAGTTAATGGGGATACGATTAACTTTTCTCTTGGCAAGTATGCTTCGGTCTTCCAGGCTGAGGTATTTGCAATCCTCAAGGATATGGACTACGTGGTGGAAAATAGGTGGAGCGGAAAGAGTTTACGTGACGGCCAAGCTGCACTCAACGCACTACTTACATCCAGACTCTAAGTGCCAGTTCAATCGGGAGTACTTCCATAACTATAATATTTATCATATCATGAATTTCAANAGAGTTTACGTGACGGCCAAGCTGCACTCAACGCACTACTTACATCCAGACTCTAAGTGCCAGTTTAATCGGGAGTACTTCCATAACTATAATATTTATCATATCATGAATTTCAATTTTCGTTATTGCGCGTATCGAAGACAAATTTCCTTTCAATTTTAAATATATATATTTTTTTATAATATATATATAATATGATTATTGAGAACTAGGTATGGTAGCACGAAATGTCACAATCTGCTTAATTTTCAGGTAGTTAATATGGCGCCCGAAAAGTGACAATGAAACTACCTTCTTTTTCTGTATCATGGTTTCGACTATATGGAGGCAGATAGAACAGTCATGTTGACAGTTGATAAAAAAAAAACGGGTTGGACTTAGAGAGAGAAATGCAAAAGTCACAAACACCACATTTCACATTATTTACTCACCCCCTTTCTTCACGAACGATACATTTCCAAAGAAATACGGGAATCGGCGCGATACNCTGTATCATGGTTTCGACTATATGGAGGCAGATAGAACAGTCATGTTGACAGTTGATAAAAAAAAAACGGGTTGGACTTAGAGAGAGAAATGCAAAAGTCACAAACACCACATTTCACATTATTTACTCACCCCCTTTCTTCACGAACGATACATTTCCAAAGAAATACGGGAATCGGCGCGATACCAAGTAATCAGTTAAGTTGCCTTTGGCGATTAACCCATTAAAGAAAATGTTTATTTTTCAACTGTACTCAATTATTTAAATATCGTGGAATATTCAGGTGAAGGTATATATCATTTACTAGCTTACCCTGCCACGCTTTGCTGTGGCATATTCCTGTTACATGGATGATAAATGATTAACGAAATAAATCATACGTTTCAGATAAGTTTGATTTTGCAATACCTGTGTGTAGGTACACAATATTTTTCGTTTTTCCATACTCTACGTAGATATCAAGGCTATCTGGTTTGTCGACAGGCAACATAGATTTGTCCATCTGAGATACAATCGGCATCTAAATCTAAACCATACTTTTCCAAAGGTTGATCTTCATTACTGATTGTGATTCCGAATGCCAATCGAATTTGGGATTCAGAGTTTTGGCCGATTAATATTTCGCAACATGATAATTACCACACCTATTTTCAATTTCAGTATATTGGGTAATCCCTGGAAGATCAATCGAGTTCAAAAATTCCGTTGGATAATTAACTGCTTCATTTCTTTCCATAATGGTGTTTATCGACGTACATATATGTTATTTCATCACTTCGAATGCTGGATTGAAAAACATTATTGAGTTGATAGACATCCTTATTCTTCGCGGCAAGAATAGCTTGTTGACTGAGCCAATCATGATTCCTATAATTAATTTGAATATCCGAAAACATTCTTTCGATCAGTTCTCCTTTCGATGTTTCTAAGTTACAAAAATTATCACGCAATAAAATTCGTCCCAATCTCTCATTGACTGGCAGCTCTCCGTTCCCTATGTTCAGTAATTGTCGCGAGAATACCTAGGCTGATTAACCGCTCTGTAGTTGGACACTCATATTCGTAGTCAACTGCTATGTATGTATTTTCGTCTTGCCACAATGTTTAATATTTCAGGCAAGCATTTATCTCGTCCGCTGGTGTCAATATAGAAATTACAGATCTCCTGCGAGAAATATCAAAGCATTCCCGAACGGTTGAACATTTGTACGCAAATCTCGCACCGATTTTGTATGTGCCATCGTGCACTCATCCCAAACAATGAGTTAACATTTTTGTAATAAGTACTTTTCCCATACCGGATGTTCTGGAAATATTGCACGTGGGAGTTTCGATGATTTGTATGTTTAATGGTAGCATAAGGCTAAATGAGAAGTGTTTCCACCTGGTAACGATGTCGCAGATGTTCCAGACGTAGGGAGAGCTACGGCTATGTAATTTTCTCATCGAACCGTTGCCACAATCTTATAAGGAATGTTCTCCTAGTTCCTCCTGGCGCATCCAAGAAGAAGATAATTGATCATTTGCCTCTTCTTATATGGCGCTGTAACTGCATAAGCGATTTTAACCGAGTTCAAAAAAGTACGCCAGTCGCTTCTCTCTGTGCCAACTTACACCAATTGGGCAATGCCACGTGAAGCCAAGTCCTTCTCCACTTGGTCTTTCCATTGCAGTGGGCACCTCCCTCCTCCTCCGCTACCACCAGCGGATTGCGAGTCGAATACTTTTAGACCTGAAAAGCGGTTCCCATACTCATCGTCGCCAACGCGTAGGGGCCTGTAAATCTACCGTAAGATATTTCTCTCGAATACTCCAAGAGCCGCCTCATCGGATGTTGTCATACCAACATGGGCATTGGATTTCGATGCCGACATTATTATCGGTGTTATGCTGGTTCCTAACTAAACGAAATTGTCTACTTTCTCGAAATTACAACTGGCAACACTGACGTGGGTGCTTTGCTTCGTTATCCAACTTGGAAAAGGCAGGAGAGACTTCGAGGTTTTTGTTACCGATGATGTCGATGTTATTGGCATACGCCAGAAATTACACGCCCTTATAAAAAATTGTTCGTGAGTGGTTCAGTTCCGCAGCTCTTATTATCTTAACATTTGCAATATGCAATCATAAATGCCCTTCTGCTCACGCTTTAATTTGTGAGTGTTTGATTGGGCATATAATAGGAGATCAGAATAATAATAATAATCATAAACTTCATAATATTATCCAACGTTATACAAATCGCTCCCGCTAATTTTCGGAAAATTTTTGCTAAAAACCCGAAGCAGGTCATCTAATTTAACAAACAAATTTCTGGAAAATGGGGGTATTGTTAGGTAGGTGTGTATTTCACCAAGGTAGATTCTTAGATACTTGAAAGTCGGAAAAACTCAACGCTAAAGCAGGCACATTCTCTTTACTCGCAATATAGTACGTAGTAGACTATGGCGACCACAAATTAAATTGTTTTTGATTAAAAGTTAACTATTTTATAATGTTAGGGAATGGTGACAACAATTTTAAGTTTTCATTGAGGATTTTTTAAACAGCTGGGATATTTTTATGTTTTCGTTAGGTATGGTTTTTACTATTTTTTCATTTGTATCAGTAGTTTTTTATTATTATTTCATTGCAAAATTTGTATACCTACTCTTCGTTGATAATATGATCACTTCGTTTAATAAGATTTTGTAAATTCTTTATTCATTGAAACTGTCCGGCTTTTGGATAAGTGGAAACATAAAACAAATCTCTAGTAAAGCTTTCCCTAACACTTTTCGTTTGGAACCAATTATGTAATATTTCATTTAGTTCCAATATTTGCAGTCTTTACTTTTAGATAGGGCATAATCCTATTGAAAATATTTCTAAATCAAGATTTCTCAAATGCCTTTAGTTTGGTACCCATATTGTAACATATCATTTCTTTTACCAATTTAATTGAGTTAAACTTTAAAACAGGTGGCAACGCTCCTCAAACATATTTTCGACTGTAGGTCGAGTTAACTCAGTTAAAATTTTCAAATAGGTGGTAACCCTCCTCAAAAGTATTTTTAAGTCTTCTTTTTTAAATCGCTTTAATTTGATACCTATAAATTGAGTTAAATTTTCAAACAGGTGGCAAACCTCCTCAAACAAATTTTTGGCTGTAAGCCATCTTAAAAATCTAAAGTTTTATACCCAAATTGCAGTATTTCATTTATTTTATCAATTTAACTGAGTTTAAAATTTCAAAGAGGTGGCAATTGTACTCAATGTATTTCCAGCAGTTATCTTTCTTAAACCTCTCTAACTTAATACCTATATTGTAATATATCATTTAGTTTATCAATTAAATTAAATTTCGCTTTCGAGCTACTTTGAAGGAATATGTGACATTAATCACGACATACATCTACTGAGAATCTGGTTTGCATTGCATACACTGTCTGTAAGTAGTAAAACTAAGCTTATGTACTTTAGCCTCGTGGCCAAATAATCCCCAAACTTTTTTTTAATTTGCATAATCATGAGTGCTCTCTGAATGAGTCAAAAAAGTCTTTCGCGTGCACCGTCAACTGCGACGATATTTGTTTCCAGCTTGAAAATGTTGAAAAGTTTAAATACCTAGGAGTAGTAATTGACAACCGCTTAAATTGGTCTGAACATTTAAATACGCTAAAACAATACTTTCTCTACATCAGTCGTCATTTATACCGGCTTAAAAAGTTTTGTTCTACTTCTACACTAAAAATGGTTTACTACGGAATATTTCAATCGAAGCTGCAATACGGTATCAGCTGTTGGGGTGGTGTTTCGGCTAGTAAATTGTCCTCGGTCATTACAATTAAAAAGTGCATAATTAGACGTATCTGTAACGCAAATCGTAAAACTCACGCTATGCAATTTTTTAGAATGCTTAATATATTGCCGGTGCGACATTTATACTGTTTTAAAGTTTTAAAACTTTTTTTCATCAAATCTGGATACTTGAAAAGTCTACCGTCAGAAATTTATAACCTGCGCAGGAACTTGCTTCCAATTGTTCACGTTCCGCCTGCTCGTACGTCTCACTTTAGATGTTTTTATATGTACGCCTGTTGTAAATTGTTCAACTCACTTCCTGCTTCTGTACAGGTCATAAGAAATCTCAGTTTATTTCAAAACAATGTTAAAGCTCACCTGTTCAACTTAAACCACTGTGAAATTGAAGCCTCGCTGAGGTCTATATTGTAATCTGAGCATATCATAAAATAATGTATGTAATGTAAATATAGTTGTTTTTTTCTCTCTTTGGAGTCTCTTGGATTTGTATCTTGTATTGATTCTTTCTAACGTTATTACATATTTGTTTACTTTTATTTTTCAATGTTCACCCCACAAAATTTATACTAATATTCATTGAAATTGGCATTTAAAACTATTTTACTTTGTAATATTAATAATGCCATTAACTTTTCTAATGCAGCATTGATGTACTCATTGAACGCAACATGAACTTAGAATACTGTGTTAATATGTATGCATTAAGAAAATGAAATAAATGAAATGAAAATAACGCTCGATCGTTTGGAGCTCTGAGCAATTCGGAGGATTGGCCTCTTTTAGTACAATGTTGATTCCATTTTGTGTATAAAACTCTTGCGCTTCTTTTGCACAATGGCTTGTTGCCAAATCAGGCCAAACAATACAGGCTCTCAGAACAACACTCAGGTGCAACAACTCGTTCAGAGAGATTCGGATTCCTTTTCAAAGTCCTTGGAACATCCTTCTACACTATTTTATGTATGTATGTATGTATGTATGTATGTCCTGGAACTTTGCAGTCNAGTGCCTGATTTTCCGCCAGATTCCGCCTTTTTCTCAATGCTGCAATATTTCTTGATATTTGACAATACATTTTGTACCGTCGACCTTCCAATTTTCAGCAATTTTACTAACCGATATTGGGAGATGTGTGGATTTTGCATGAATTAGTCCAAAATCAATTTTCTTTGCTGAAGTTCTTTGCTCTCCACATCACTTATTTTTAAAGTTACGCATATGAAAATTAACTGTAATAAAAAACAACGATAGCAAAATCAGCACACTAAATAAACGGCTGATCGAATAGTCGATAACAAAGTTATGCTATGTATAGTGCTGCCAAATTTCAAATGAAGCAGATCTTATTTCGGAACTCTCAAATAGTCCGAATGGTGTACTGATTGCGGCCTTTGGCACGTCTGCTAGATGCACCGGTATTTGGTGGTATGCCTTTTTGCAGTCGATAATAGAAAAAAAAATCTTTTCAGCTAGTTCGCTAGCGAAGTCCTGTATGTGATAGATTGGGTATTTATCCGGGATCGTCTTGAGTTCAGTCGCCTGTAGTCTCCGCAAGGACGCCAAGTGCCGTCCGTTTTCTTTACTATGTGCAAAGGGCTGCTCCATTGACTTTTTGACCGAACGCATATGCCTTTATCCAAGAGATAATTAAATTCTCTTTTTGCTACTGCCAGCTTTTCCGGTGGTAGCCTACGCACCTTTTATGACACTGGCGGTCCCTTTGTCTCAACGAAGTTACATAGCTGTGTTTCAGTCCCTTTACGTCGCGCTGGCTCCTTCAACAGATCAGCATATCGGATCACAAAGTCATGATACACGCTGATCGATTTAATCGTCGTTATATTTTGATTTTGGCGCGCTACGTAGGCCTGACCCATTGCGAACCAACGCCTGGTCTCTTACGTCGACGAGCATGCCGAAATGCTTTAAAAAATTTACTCTCAATATAGGATGCGTCACGTCCGCGACGGTGAATATCCATATCAAGTTTTTTTGCAGGCCTAGATCCACGGTGAGTTGTTTTTGCCCGTTTGTATTTATATGAGTGGTGTTTGCAGCTGCTAATTTTACTAATGAAGCTTGAGAATTGTCGTTACTGTTGCGTGGCACCACAGATATTTCTGCTCCGGAATCCACTAAAAAGGAAAGTTTTGAAAGTCTGTCCTTAATGAACAGGCGACATGCGTCAGGCCCTATCCTTTGATTAGTTGCCGAAAAGGACCGGCCAACTAGTTTTCCTGTGCTTCAGGTCTAAAATTACAAGGTGATTTGCACCTGGTGGCACGGGTAACAAATCTTCGATGATACCAGCACAACTTGCCCGATGGTGATCTTACGTTACGAGAGCGCGCGCGAGGCGAATAGCCACGCTGACGGTTTGCAGCACGAATAACTGTTTTTGGCACTCCAAGTTCTAAACGCTCCAATCGCTTGTTTAATTCCATGATTGTGCTTTGCAAAGATGCGAGTGCACCTACATTGCCATTAACAACATTAATGCCAGAGTCATCGGCGACTGCCATAATATTGTCTGCCTTCTCCGCTAAGCTATCCAGATCTCCAGTTACAGTTTGCAAAATTTGTTGTACGTTCCTTGGAAGTTGACACAGCCACAGCGACTTACCGCCACGTCTAAATGACCATCTGCCAGGTCTCGCAATTCTCGAAGGAAAGTTGTCGGCTTCCTACCATCTATTGTATTACCGCTCAGCAAGCGCTTCATACGTACCTCCTTCATTCGTTGATTTCCTTAATTAGGCACTCCTTCAGGGGCACCGAAATTGCGCATATGGAAACTGTGCATTTAGACATTATTTCGGTTTCAACCGAAACTGTGCATGTATGCTTTATTTCGGTTCTTACCATATGCATTATTTCGGTTTTAAACCGAAACTGTGCATGTATGCATTACTTCGTTTTTTTTCACATGCATTATTTCGCTTTTAAAACGAAAGTATGCATATGCATAATTTCGGTATTTTCTCATATGCATTNTTCAGTGCGTTGTACTTATTATATGCTGGAGGCTCTTGAATGATATCTGCTGCATGAACTTAGTCTCATCTGTTGTAATATTTGAGCGAATAAATTGGGCTTCTATCTGCCGGAGGCTCTTGAATGATATCTGCTGCATGCTTTAGCACTGAAGAATCCATTTCTGCGACTAACGTATAGAACTTAGTCTCATCTGTTGTAATATTTGAGCGAATAATTGCTGAAACCATAGCCGAACATCGGGCTTCCAAAATGGCGGCGGTTTAATGGCCACACGAGCGATTTGCAAATTCGAAGCATCTACGAAAATTTCTCCGTCTCCTTCCGTGGGCATCTTTACTTCCGTCGGGGTCACCACTTTGTAGTATTTGAATCAAGTTTACTTTATTTATTAAATATTTGAATTGAAAAGTAATACAAAAACTAAACTAATGTAGTGTGCTCAAAATCTGAAAAAGCGTCCAATTGAATTTCACAACCAATGAATTAAGTTATCGATCATAAACTGTAGTCAAACCGATAAAACTTGTCGGCCTTTCAGTGTTGCCGCTACAATATCATTAAAATGTTCTGTAATGTCTTGTTTTTATGTTTGTTATCGTGAGTTTCTTCTATTTAAAAAGTTCTAGTACAAAGAATTTCTTTGTTCTGAATTTGTTTTTTTATTGTTTTTAATTTTTAAAATTCATACTTTTGACATGCATGTGAATGGCGGAGTTGCCGCTTTCCTCCTTTTCGGTGGGTTTTTATATTAAAAAGGCATCAAAATGGGGGAAAACCCTCCTTGGTATCTCTGCATCTGTTAAACTTTTTATGGGAATATGTATGAAAATCCAACTTGCTATAATTTCATATGCTTAACAGTATCACAACAGTATGTTTACAGTATCTCCCCATAATTTTTCATATGAAAAAATGTATTATATGCATCCCACTCAATATCATTGAATTCCTCATTGGAACATGTAGTCCCTCTATTTTAGCGTATCAACAGTTCATATGGCTTCATACCATGTAAATGCACCATAAATCGAAAATCGGAGCCTGTATAGGTTTTTTTTAAGAAAAGGAAGCATCTAATGTCTGCATTCCCCTTCAGTGTGGGACTTTAACCCACTAAACTTCTTACCGTCCGTACGCTCGGTAGTACTGTTAAGTATTTAGTCGGTAGCAGTTTATGTGGTGATATGAGTGCTTACGTTAATGAGTCCCATCAGTTTTCTTTCTTTTTACTTTAACTGTTTCTACCTTACACTATTTATTGTTTGTATTTAACACAATTTATTAGTTAAAACATAAAATTTAACTATGTCTTTATTCATTTAGATATCATTTAGTTGAAAAGGAACACGACTCGGGCGAAGGATCTCATCAAAGTGGTTGTTCAGAAGATCGGACACCTGGTGCGATGGCGCGCGCAATAACGGTTCACGCCGACACAAAGAAGGTCATGTACTTTGCTTAAATGCACTTTGAGAACTTTAATATAAGTATTTCCATGGATATGCAATTTTAGATAAATATTCTAGTAAAAATTTGTTGGATTTAGTTTTTGGTTTGCATTTCCATTTTCTACTTTTGTTAGTTATGGTTAGGTCAGTGCAGATTTTTAAAGAACTGTGATTTGTTTTTACATTCATTCAATAGGTAGTTATTAGCAGTATAAATCAGAATAGCACATGAACAAGATGTACATATATACATCATTATTCAAAAAATAAAGGCTACAAAATCAAAAACAATTAATAGCAAAATAATAACTAAATAAAATCCAATCAACATTTTACTAGTTTATGTATCTAACGTTGTATGTTAGTAAAATCAGTGTAAATCTTTAACCTAAGCTTTTTTACAAAGAATTCAAGCCATGTCTAAACTAAAAAGTTACAATTTACATTGTAATATGTTTTAGGTATTTGAGCCTCTTCCATATGTATTCGTTATATTTTGAAATTTACTGTGAAATAATTCCTGTACTTTATTTTTAAAAACATGAAGAACAATTTTAATGTAGACAAATTAAGTGGAAAAGATTTACGTAGTATTTATGCGAAATATATAATAATAATAATTAATGTGCGCATTTCATTTTGCGACCCATAATTATCACAATTTACTACGTTTAGCACAAATACGAACCGCACTCCTCCAAGCAAAAAAAATAGAATTTCGTATTGTGTTGTAACGTTTTACAACTAGCTCCCAATACATAAATATGTATGTACATAAATTGAGTATTGTATTGTCGTACTTGTTAATTTATTTCAACGTACAACTCCCTTATAAATACATTCGCATGCGTGTAATTACACGTTTGTTTGAGAATTTTAATTAAACAATAGAAATGAAAAAAAAAAAAATTATGCACCTTAGATGAACAAAAACACCCATATTTTCTTACTACATATAATGATAACTACAGACAAAATGAAGTATGTATGAATGCTAGAAATCTATAAAATCGGATAGTGGAATGTTTAACTAAACACTTCGTAACTAACACCTAATCTTGAAGTAAGTAATATACATATGTATATGTACAGAAAGATGTCTTCTGAGTACGAAGAGTGAAAAGTGGATAAAATACATTTGCAGTTTGTAATAAGCGGTATTTTGGCCTGTATCTGTTAAAAAACTACATATGACGGGCAAAACTGTAACATGGTGTAACACTTTTTACTTCAGTCATCGCTATCTTTCCAAGTTCTAACGACTTTCATACTTTTGTTGTATGTTATTATTGGTACACCTGTACTTCCTCTCTCATAATGATTTGAAGTCAATCCAACAACAATAATAAAACCAGCAGACAAAAATGTAAATTAAGGCAGATGTTACAGTTTTGCACTCATATATTTTTAAGAACTTTTTAACAATTTTAACGAGAAAAAAGAACTACTAACACAATGTTCAGTACCCTTTTGCTTGTTTTAGTTTCAGGGTGCGATTTGGCATACCTTATTTTTATCTCTGTAAAACTTCTGGAGGTATATCCTCCATATATCCTTATTAAACTATTATTGACCGACCACTGTGATTCACAGTTTGCCTCACATGTTGCGCATGGGCTTAATTTGGGTCTTTGATCCAATACCATTCCCGACCATCTGATTGAAAGCAATTAATTGAGTCTTGTCAGACAAAATAACCTTCAATTGAAACTTAAAAATATGTTTTTTATTGCATTCTGAAAGGCCTAACATATCCCAATAGGCAACGGTCCGGTTTTCGGGCGACGCAGCAAAATGCTACCACTCGCACATATATTTTGGTCAAATTAGCTTTTTTCTTCTTTTATGATGCCTTTGCGCCAATTTGGCAATTCGTCGCCTCGCTGTCTACTGATTTGCATTAAAGTTTAATACCTTAAGCGCTTCTGTAATAGTGGCTGCATCGCTACTTGCTGCTAAGTTCACAAGATATTGGACCGTAATATTTTTTGATAGATTTCCTTTTTCATTCCATATTTTCAAGTAGCAAACTCCAAAATTTTTTGCCACTTTCCTGCGGTCCCGCCTTTCCACAGTAAATCTATTATTTACATTTATGGTTCCTGATTAACTATACTATTTACTAGTAAAAAATAACTGTAAAATGCAAAACTGAGAGTAAGTGCAAAACTGTAACATTTGCCTTAATTTACATTTTTGTCTGCTGGGATTTTTATTGTTGTTGTATTGACTTCAAATTGATATGAGAGAGGGAGTAGGGATGTACCAACAAGAATATACAACAAAAGGATGAAAGTCGTTAGAACTTGGAAACATAGCGGTGGGTGAATTAAAAAGTGTTACACCATGTTACAGTTTTGCTCGTCACTGTATGTATGTACATTCATACATTGGACTGTTAAACAAAATAGTTCCGTTCTATTTTAAACTATGACGGATTGGTTACGCCTTTCCAAACATTATTATTAAAAAACAAAACAATTAAAAAATGTAAATGTTTAATGTTAAACTCAATTGCGACACCGTATATCTTAAGCAATGTACTCAAATGTATTTATATTCTAATAAAACAGTGCAACACTCAAAAAGTGATGGGAATGAGACCAATTGCATTCATTAAAAGAGCATTGGTAAAAGTTGTTTCCCATTTCCTTTTTATATCGATTTGAAGTTGTAAACTTAAGGTTCAAAAATAAACTACAATGTTTTTTTTTTTGGATTTTCTCACAAATTTCATACCTACATATCAGAGCTGGGTAACTTTTGATTACGATTTCATTTTAATTACGATTGCTTGATTGTAATCCTTAAATTATATACGATTACGATTACTTTAATTGTAATGATAAATGTTACCATTATGATTATAATAATTGTAATCTTAAAATTTAAGGACTATAATTACTGCAATCGTAATCTTAAAAACATTATTACGAATACCGTAATTGTAATCCTAAAAACTTTGAGATTACAATTACAGTAATTATAATCATGAAAATTACAATTACTATAATCGTAATCATAAAAAGTACGATTGCGACTACAGTAGTCGTAAATTTTTAAATTTTAAATTACAATAAAAATAATCGCAATCAAGCATGTTCTAATTACAATTACAGTAATCGTAATGCTGAAAATTTTCGGGATAACAAAATTTAATCGTAATCATAGTGTCCAGCTCTGCTACATACATATACGTATATACACACATACATATATATTACAAAATTATAAACTCCTCCATCCGCTCCGTTACTTTGGAAAATGTTTTTTTATTTTTTTATTTTTTTTTGTTACAAGAAATAACACCTGAAAACACGAAATTAGAAATTAAGTTAAAAAAGAAATGGTAACCAACTTTTTCAAATCCTTTGGTACTTTTTCATTATTTGGTCAGCTTAATCAAATGTTGTTGGACCGATTCCCATCACCACCAACTTTTTGAAATTTGCTGCACCGTCTAATTAACAAACATTTTATGTTGTTGTTGCAGCAGCAACTAGCTTCCGTTTTAAGTTTGCCACAGCACGTCGTCATCCGTTTCCGCATTAGTACCTTCCCTGTGCACGAATGGCACACTCAAAATTATTACGTAGCTAAGAAAACCTCAAAAAAAAATTTAAAAAACATCGTCACTTACAAACGAACTTTAATTTTACATTACTTTAAGTATAGGTTTTAAGTATGTATGTATATGACCTGGCCAAATTTACAGCAAGTGGCTAGCCAATGTCTATTTCCATAAATCAATTAAACGTCAATTAATTTGTTTGTTTTTCAAGATATGCGCAAAACAAAATAAATGATAAACACAAGAATGCAGCTCACTTAATATTAATTAGCGCTAATATTTGTACTCAAATCACCCAAAAATAGACATATACACATGTATGTATTTTTATACTTTTATTTAATATTTAGTAAAATAATGCGAATGCAGGCGAATGAAAGCAGCAAAACAACACGCTTGTATTGGGTTGAATCCTTTAATGCCATAATCTGAAGACAAGTTGAATTCTTTTAAATACATATTTGCGAATTTTGGAAAAAACAATCCACCCACAGGGTGATTGAAATCTTATAATTCTAAAGAAAATAAATAAAGAATTAAAATTTTTCGTGCATGATCTGGATTTATCGATTCAAAAACAAATTTTTGAAACAGGCTGCTAAGTCAGCTGTTCACAACGTGAAAGCTATTATTATTAAAATGGTGGGGTTGATAGTTATTATCAGGGAACGGATTTTCAGGACCAAAATCCTATAAAAAAGACAAAATAAAATAGCGAAATAGGCAGGAAAAGGCACTAGAAATAGCAAAAAAGGCAAAAGAAGGCACTAAGAGACAAAAACTTAAAAAAAACACTGGTTTACAGGAAAAATGTTCAACTTACGCCACTACATATCCAATTCCTATATTGAACTGCTCGCTGATTCCGAAAATCGAGTTAATTTTTTTGTTATGAGTAACATTCGTTCCTGCTAATTTTACATACAAAAAATCTTTGTACATTTTCATATGACCACTTATTACTTCATTATTTGTCCATCGATTTTCTTCATTATCAACTTGATTTTTATTTATAACAGCCTGTAATGTACTGAACGTGCGCTCGAGTTGATACAAGTGGCGCCCAATTTAAATATGGAACGTTTGAAACTTTTATATTATCAGGAATAAGGGCTTTTTCCTCGCTATAATCACTTTTTAAAGGTGTAATAGGCAGAAAAAGGCAAATATCTTAAAAAAGGCAAAAAAAAGGGCTACATCAAATGTGTATATATGGAATCAGGGAAAGCTAAATCGTGGACATTCTTAATCGAATATACTCTATCTCTTTAGCAGAAGAAAAGGCAATTTCCGTAAAATCCGTTCCCTGATGACTATTATCTAAAACTATAATGTGCCAAAATATGTATACCAAAATTAAATTCCTTTTCAATTATGAAAAGTCATGTTTTTTTAAAACATTCTTCAAGCGCAATGTTTTGTTGTAGTTTTTGACACACCTTCGGTAATCTCTACACTTAAATCTCGTTTGCCTAGAATCAATACTTATGTATTCATGCATTGAAAATGTAAGTTACAAATTTACGATGTCTTAAATAAGTGGGATATAGCGCACCCATACAAACGAATAAAACCATAATGCACATACATACAATACATGTATAGTTATCAATTAAATACATAAATTACATTTAGTTGTACAAAAATTTATTATCGTGGATGAAGCTGGAGACATAACGGCCGGCCATTAAGAATTAATTAATGAAGCGCCTGGCAGTTAAAGGGATTTCAATTTTTTTAAAGACACAGCTTAAAGTTAACATTACGTTATTTATCTCTCTCTCTTTAATTTAATTTTAGCTAATCAGTTTTGACGATAGAAGCGAAAAATGGTTTTCTTTGAAATGTAAAACTAAGAACTGGAAAAGTATGTAATAATGTTTAGTTAAAAAAGTGAAAATAAAACGAAAAATAACTGTAAAAGTTGAGGAGTAAGTTAATCCATACATTTGTAAAGAGCGAACAGAGGAAAAATCAACAATAATGCTTACAATGCGAATATATATTATTATAATTAGCAAAAATCAATTTAACGATAAACTGAAAAAGTGATGTCAAAGATACGATGATTTAATTTTTTCTAAACAAGGGATTAATTATAAATTTTTTAATATATTAACATACATTTATAATTATGAAACTTATTGTAATTACTTAAAAGCATTCAAAATATACTAAATATATTAATATTTACGAAAAAAATTGCGTTTATATCAGCACAGTATCGATGTTTTATAAGAGCAATTGAATTAACATCATCGTATATACTTACAAGTATGGAATCCTATCCCCTTATTGTCTATTCTCTTTCTAACAACGGATGTGCCTGCCAAACAGCGGACGTGCATGCCAA